GTCAGATGTTAGTTTCACGGAAAACTCGAAAATGGGGCCTTCGGCAAATAAGTATTTTTTTGAAAAACAGTTTTAGAATACCGTTCTATGATAATCCTGACCCTGGCGAACAAATAAACCACTACAATTATTATCATATAAATTAATTAAAAAGTAGTTTATCGCACATGTACTGCCCAAAATATTAACGCGAAAACTGAATTTATGCGAAAAAACAATATTTCAGTCCCGGCAAGATATATTCTTGCAAAAAATTAAATTTTTTGGTAAATATTGTATTTCCGCTGAAAATTTATTCCCATAATTTAGTTATTTCGGGCTACCATATATGACGCCAAAAAACTGGTCGAACGCAATATATTCATATGACCCGTATTTAGAAACGTTATTTCAAAATGTCACTCAACACTAGAAAAGAAAAGCGAACCCAGGGAAATGGCGGCGCTATTTATTGTAATACGATATGAGTAATTATTAATCGTACTAGTGTCATTTCACTAGCCAGTATAAGTTCGACTCTCTAATCGTGACAACATGACATACGATAAAACAGTTAATAAATAAATAAAACTGATTATAAAATCCGGGGAGCGAACAAAATCGTAGCCTCTAAAGCAGGGGTGTGCAACAGGCTGACACATCCCGGGCTGCCAAGCCATTCAGTGTGGTCCTTGTCAACACTCAGATTTTTCCACATCGAGAATTAAATAATATTGAGCCTGTTTATGTTCAGATAGGCGCACACATCGGTAAAAATCCATATATTATTTTCTCGTTCGGCGTTTTGCCTGCGACATTATTACTGTAAGGCTAAACGATAGCCTTTACATTATGAGAATTTTTCAATTTGTTGTGTACATGAAAAAACTAAATTTTTACCTGGCCTATCTCGATGTCTGAATTTAGTTATATGGCCCGCCAACAAGAAATGTTGTACACCCATGGTTTAAATCGTATAGAATTTAGAAGAGAAGTTCACGCCAAAAGACGTGGTATGTATTCACTCGCCTAAATCGATACATTCCATCTTCGCGAAACGATATTTCGGTTCCATTATATTTGCACCTATATATGGAAATATTTTTTACGAATATTTGAACCCATACTAACCCTAACCCATGGATTTTAGCACCCGCATATAGATTGAACCCGCAGATATACCGGTGCAAATGCCCAAATGAACGGTCACCCGATATTTCAACCTCCTCTCACATTCGAGACCAATGAACACCTGAAACAAAATGGCGTCGGCTGTGTTCTTCTCGATTCAAACAATACATAAATAAAAGTATGTGGTCTGAAGAACTTTCATATATTGATCATTTAATGTTAAATTTATACAAAACAATATAGTTCACTTCCATGCCTGATTAAGAATATAAAAACTTTTATAAAGAGAATCAATTATGGGTGCTATTGCCCCACCACTAACTATCTGATCTTTTTTGCTGATTCTGTTATTTGGCAAGACAACTCATTTGAGGTTACTTATCCCCTGATGCACATTCATTCAAACCTAGACTACGATGGATAAAATATTGATAAAAAAAAGAAATATGAAAATTTGTGGTGGGGCAATAACAGGCTGGTCTTCACATCGAATCGTCCATGTTTCTGGACTGTCATGTTTCTAATTTTGTTAATTTATGGAATCAGAGTATGCCAAGTTTTTCGTGCGTAATAAATTAGCCTAGTTGAGTTTTATCGTTCCCATTAATAAATACAATTTTCATTTCGCTCATTTTAGTAATTTAATTTGAACTCACGTGTTCGGTCTTACTTTCAATATGTTAGCAGGTCCACGGTATATTCATAATTTATATAGGTCTACTCCATTTGTAATGCTACGATAATCCAAATTCATTTGGTGTATTGTTGTTCTTCTCAGTGGCATTTCGTTCGTCCGTTGATTTGTGGGTTAGCTTTTACACTCGATTTGTTTATGTTTGTGTGTGTTCGGGTGTGACGCGTCTTTCTCCTTCTTAGGAGTTAGCGGTGTGAACTAATGCTACAATAAAATGAGTGGTAATATTATATTCAGGTATTTATATCATTTGATATATATTGCTAATGACATTTTATTTGCTTCCAATACAGATTTGTTGCAATAAAAAAGTGAGAAGCTTGAGTTAATACACATTTCATGGCGGCCCGAAGTTACAATAGTTAGTAGACAACTAGGAAAGGTACCGGTAGGATATGACACATCTCATTAATAAGAAAACGTCTCACTGACATTTTTCGTGATGGCAATGAACGTTTACAATCCGTATGAGGCAGTCGAAAGAATCATTAAGTATCCATAAAGTCTCACTACCACAAGCGGATTGCAATAATACAGTACAAGGAAACGACGACCTGTCAGCTCATACAATTTTCATCGGACTTGGAGCATGAAGTAGTTTAGGTTATCAGTTATTCACCGTGATGTCGAAAGCTTTCAGTTAGTCATCGGCATAATTATACGATTCAGATTATATTTTAAAACTAAAAACATGGAATCCATGCTATTTGCTAAGTTTTTAAAAAAGTTCGCTATTAACATTTTTGCTATTTGTTTTGCCGATAATCATGTCGATAGGAACACAATATAAAGTGAAATATCGTACTAATGATATGTCAGATTAAAATTAATCATTTTCTTGTCTTCCTATATTTAAAACAGCTTAATGTTGACCCGTTCAAAGATAATTGGTACTCCCGAAGTATATGAGAACCGAGGTGGTGGACACTGGAAGATGGACACTGGAACGTAGCATGTGTACCGGGTTAGGCCATAAGTTCAGATACAAATACTACGGGAGTCACTTGGCTATTCCCCGGAATCGTAGAAGAACTACAATAAGGAAAATTGGAATAAAATGATGGCCGAACCTGGTACACATACTACGTTCCGGTGTCCGCTATCTTGGTTCACATACTTCGGGAGCACCAAATAATTACCAACTTGTGAGAATTACAAATGTTCATGCTTTTTTTTCCACCACCAACTTTCTGATACCTTTAGGTCAGGGTGATTCATGCTAGGTTGCTTATTGCCTCGTCGGTTCCCGCTTATCCTAACCCAACATGAGCTGAACGAAAAAAGTAAACACATAATATGTGGTGGGGCAATAACAGGATACTCTCGGTGTTTACCACTGCAACTCTTCAACAACAACCGTCTGGGTATCGCCGTGTGTAATTATCTGTGGTTTTGAGATGTTCGTCAGGTATGGCGTGTTAAGCTCATATAATGTAACGTGTCTTCATAATGATTTGAATTAACCAAAACGTAGAGTATATCAAAGTTATATATTGGTAGTTCTGTGGGTTTTTCATAACAGCGATCGTAATGGAGCCGATTTGTTAGAATCCAACTCGGATTAAGCTAAGCAAAATCGTTGAGAGGAAAAACACAGTAGTTTAGAACCTTTGCTTATATATGTTTCTCGCGGAGCAGAGCCCTGAAGACTGGGAAATATGGATATCGGTGGGGCATGACACACTTCAGTAGTAGGAAACACTATTGTCTTACTTTATCAGTGCTTACCGTGAAGATTGCAATTGCAACCCGTGCTTTGTCGATTACATGACATCGTTAAGTGTTTCACAACGGCAGAAGGCGTGTTGTGGGCGTGTCTCCGCTTCCCGTCGTGGATTGATCAAAAAGACCAATTAGAAGATCAGGTCAACGTTCGCCGGTTGCATCCAAACTACTGCAATACGCATGAATACACACAATTCTAAATAAAGGCCAGAAACGTTAGACTAGAAAAATTAATTTCCCTTGTCTAAACTTTCAACGACGCTAAGACAAAATTTAAACACTCAGATGAGTGGTCCCCCATATTTGCCAGTTTTGAAAGATAATTCAGACGTTCAATGTTTCAGCAATTTCGCCTGTAATTCCTTACTTATGACTAGTCTGCGAAAGAAAAGGCTGGACATGCAATGCTCGCATCTAGTGAATGAGCCTAGTCATACGGCTCCATAATATAACAATACTTCACCTCATGATCTTACAGATTTTAGCATCAAGTCTGATCGTAAGATGCAATGGGTGTCAGTATTATTGCCATTTCTCAAAAAAAAAAAGCGATAACGATAGTACGACTGTATTTTTGTGGAGAGGGCTTTGGGTAATTTGATTTAGGCGATATTAAGTTGTTTGGGAACCGCTGTTCTAGATGGATGATATATATTTCTACGCGTTTTTTTGCATTTTCCTCTGAAAGGTAAGTTAAGCAACAACTATGAAAGTCACAAAATTCTAATTCACGATATGTTTATTTTTAACAATTTTATTCCTTAGTTAGGTCGTTCACGCCTCATCGATTGTTTTGTCGTAAACAGACAAGTCGGCATTCATGCTCGCAATCGACGCGAAAAAAATAGGCGAACTGGAACGAAGCTGATTTCGGTGGTGACGCGAGTTAAAGTTGGGATGGATGTATATGCATTTGTAAATACATGTTTCATTGTATGTGACATGGCAACTTCTACAAATGCGCATTTAGGAGTTTAATTATCTTAAAATTTCTTCACTTCTTGCAAATGTACAGCCGCAATTAGGCGATGCTTCAGAGGACGGTTTGCGGTCGTATTGCCTCCGAACACTACAGACAGCGCCCGATCAACGAAATTTATCAGAACAGCTCAGGGTTTCATAGAGCAGAGCAATAAAGATCAGAAAAAATCGTTTAAATCTGTGATGCAGAGTCACAGGTAGATTTTGTTGAATCGGAACCAACTTGAAATAGTAATACGAATACAACAGTAGAATAGCAGCCGCGTATTAACGGAGTGAGTGTAGGAACGACTACGACATACTGATTTTATGAAAAATGGTTTAAGGAACAGCAAACCCGCCAGCCGCAATAAACCTGTGCATTGCAAACAAAAGGATATAGAATGAATAATATATGTCCATAAACTAGAACGTAGATGATCTAAACAGGATATTTTGTACTAATTCAGCCCTTTAGTTTATGATACTATTATACATTAATTTTAACCGCAAGGAATACACGATCGTTATAAGAAGAACACATGGCTGAAGGTGGCCACCAAAACCAACAGCATCAACAAAATGTATATAACATTACTATTGCTCTGCACGCTCAACAGAATCAAACGGACATAGTACAGTAGGTTGTTTATTTGAATCAGTAACTAAGTTTGGGAAGTGATAAATATATTTCGACTATCATACGTCACACATACGCAATATTCGCATTAATATGTCTCCCTCTCAGGTCTTCTGGTATTATTATGCGACAATTTGGTACTATGGCCTCGGATTTTATTTTACTATCTTCACCGATAAGTCGCCAAACGAAAATTGAAATGCCAATATTTCCTAAAATTGTTCATAATATTTCTTCAAACAATATAGTTGGTAATATCTAATCTATAGCGAGTAATGTATAAGCTAATAATATGTAATTAAGTATTACCAGCTTGTTTAGTCGAATTATCGGTTCATCACACTAAGTCAGTGAGCAGTTGTTTGATTAACCATAGGAAGCAACGATAGTAATTTGTTTGGTACCCCTCATTTATGTCGTAATATTATTTTATTCAGAGCAAGGAGAACTGAGATTTCTGCAGGGGAGATTGGACAGATAAATATTCGACAGGCAGAAGAACAACAGAATGTCGGACAACAACAGGCAGCTGACAACGTTCAACCAGATAATATCGCTGAAGGTGTCGAAGCTTTAAATTTGTCACCAAAAAATACAGAGGCTTCTCAAAGTGGAGCAAATAAAAAGAGAGGTCAGTTGTGTTCTCTGTTGCGATATGGGGGTTCTGAGTTTTTTGCTTCATTCAAACTGTAGAATATTGACTGATTCATCGTTAGTTAGTATTTATGTTTTATTATTATGTTTTAAATATATATTCATTCATAATAATCGGGATGCAAACCAACATTTACAAAATATTGTTTGGTGGCAAAATTAAATATAAAACCAAGTATAAGCAAACACGCTCAAGAATCATTGTTATGTTAGTAACGCGCTTAAAAGAGCGTTGCAAGCCGCTGTCTTACATTGAAGGAACATCTGCCCCAAATCTCGAATTAGTCACCGGTCAAACTCTTTTATTTCATAAGAAAATTCGGGGCTCCCGAAGTATGCGAACCAAGATGGCGGACATCGGAATGTAATATGTATGTACTAGGTTAGGGTTAGGCCATAATTTTAGGTATAAATACTACGGGAGGCTCTTGGCTAGTCTTCGAACTGATAATAGGACTAAAATAGGGAAAATTGGAAAAATATTACCGCCTAACCCTAACCTGTTACCCATGTTACGTTCCGATGTCCGCCATCTTGGTTCGCATACTTCGGGAACACCGAAAATTCACTCAAATCAAGCTCATGCGCACTCACTCGGAGGTAGAAGGGGTGATGTCTAAACAACGAAGTTACAGCTGCTACTGACGTGACAAGAGCTAACGACATTATACAACGGTGAATTCAGTGTTCTTACAAACCGATTGACCCGATACTTTACATTACAAACATTAATTTGGGTATAAAATATTATTAGAGCACTAATCTATAGTCACTATGTCTTATATTCTTCACTTATAATCTATCCTTTTCCTAGATTCTCCAGGAGAACCTGCACGAGACAAAATGGCTCAACAACTGCAAAGGCCGCTGCCATCTCCCAACACTGCAGGAGGTGGAAATAACCCTCTGAAGATTTCAATGCTGCGAAGTAAGTAAAGAACGTGAAGAACAGACCTAACAGTGTGGAAAAATTTTAAGACCGGGAAGATATAGAGTTAAAAAGATGCTTATTTATCTAACGTATCATGAAATGGATATTTGCTGAATAGTTTTGGCCTGGCCGCTGCATGTAAGCAGGTCTTAAAAAACTTGATGCCAATGCGCTTACTACTGAGCCATAGTGAAACTGAAATGCTGTAACCGGTAACATTTGTTGCTACTCGTCTAGTTTTAAAGTATGCAGTCATAAAAATTAGCCAACTTACCGTCATTTTTCAGTTATTATGTTCTCCTACTTGGAATATGATCGTATATTAATCGAATTCAGCGAATTAAAATATGAGAAAGGCTGGAGCTAACGTTGCTGCTTGAAGGTTAAATATACCGGGGTCGAACCCAAGACCCAACCATCTCACCCAAAGCATACTTCCGAATACGGCTCAAAACAATAAGTCACTCACACACATGGAGACTCTATTTTCAGTAGTCATTCCTTCTGTTATACATTTGGAAATACTTTATCGAGACTTTCAACCCACTCATCGTAGGTTCTATTTATGTTATGGTTACGAGTACGACGGTTCTATCATGTATTGTATTTTCAGAAAAATCTTTCAAGTTATTCGACGAGTCCAAATATGAAGAAGCAGTCCCGATCTTAGAAGAACTGGCAACCCTGCAAAACCATCAGGATTTGGATACAATACTTATGATGGTCGAGTGTTTTATACAACTTGGCAGAGGAAACAAAGCGGAAAAATCTATCGGGAACCTACGAAATATCCTGGTGACGTCATCAGTGACCAGTGCTGATGACGTAAAAACCCTCGCAATCGATTTGATTTCAAATTCCGCATACATTCGCGCTATAATATTGCTTCGAATAGCAAGTGATATCTACAAGGCTCGCACAAGATCACCCGATGATGTAATAAATGGGATTCAACTTTGTTTCCGTAAGATACATGATGCTACAGGGCCATTGATAAAAGCCGGTGGTCGATCCAAAATTATAGGAGTAGATTACGGCATAGAATACATGACAGAAATGCTGGATGATATTCGTGCAATAGAAAACGCTGATCCAGTGAATAAAGCAATACAAGAAGCTTCGTGCTGTGAATACATTGGATATAACTATAACCTGGCAGGTGAATATGAGAAAAGTATAAAAATACAAAAGAATGGACTGGAGGTTTTGGAGAAACAGTTCGGGTCGAACGCTTCAAAATATAAATTCTACGGTTTATTGCTGAATAATATCGGTGTAGGGTATTATAATCAGCAGAAATATTCAGAAGCAGTATCTTATTATATTAAAGCCATTGATGCGTATGAAAAGGCTTCAGATTATGGGAATGAAGCTGAGAAACAGAAACGGATTGAAATGTCCAAAACTTCACTCAAGAAAGCTCGCGCAAAATTAACCTGATATCCGCATCGCATATGCACGGCGAATCGTAATTTACTGAAATTATCTCAAACAATGAATAAAATATTTAAACTTTTAATTTACATTTGTTATGTAATTTAATACTGTAAAAATGGTCAGTAGCAGTGGCGTAACCAGGGGGTGGTTTTGTGGGTCGACCCCCCCCCCCCCCTTTAAATGTAAAAAAATAAAATCTTTTTCTGTATCATAAATATCCATTTTCCGTAGCTTAAAATGCTTTTTAGACCCGCTAGCTGTTTCGATCTAACCTGACAAATAAAATTTTCAGAACCCCTCCCTCCCCCTTTGAAAATTTCTGGCTACGCCTCTGGGTCCAGTATACCAGTTATATCACACTCAATTTACCAAAATTATCTTAGAAAATGAATATTTTTCAAATATTTAAACTTTTAATTTGTATTCAACCAATGCTGTATTATTCAATACTGTTAAAAAAATCAGCAGTTTTACTTGCATAACCGGGTCATATCCATTCTTTATAATTTTAACTTTATTATTTCAGTCGCATGTTTATGAACAACAGATCAAGAATGGTTCATAGATAAATCAATATTTCAAAGTGTAATTATCTATGGATCATACTTGGCCAAGCTTTGCATTCAGGTCATATAACAAGTTATCGCAATTACTTGTAGATTTTGGTTAATTTGTTGGATTTTTTCAAAATTTAAGTTTCACTTTTTTTACGAAGTCGCGCAGAATCTTTTATTTGGGCAGTCTGTGTAGAATGTCATAAACTATCAAAAATATTGTAAAATTGTCTTGCATTGCAGCGTTATACTTCTCACGATAACTAACAGATGGACTGATTTACTTTTTTGTTATGCATTTGACAAGAATTAACTGAGCAAAGTTACCATACATGCTGAGTTATTGTAGAATACTATTAATAAGTAGGAAATGCTTTCGTATGGTTACTTTCCAATTTATTGTAATGTTCTTTTATGGATAATTTGTCAGAGGCTGTTGAAAATATAGTAAAATTATCTTGCATTGGCACGAGTTATGTCTTGAAATAACTTGTGGATTGCCACTAACTCGAGAGTGGCCAGATACGGTTTATTTACGTTTATGAATCAGTATATTTCTCGTGTACTCAGTGAAACGAACTTTATTTTGTGAAAATTGTGTTGTATATATTCTAATTAGAGTAATTGAATTTCTTTTGTATATTTTATCTTCGTTTTATCATTTCATGATCAATTTTCATTCGCTGCATTGAAGTTTAACTCAGATTTTAATTGTTTTGACATTTTTTTTATCGAATGAAGGAGAAATATTAATATATGGTCATATTTATATAAATCAAAGTCAAAATTAGTAAATATGCAAAATTGAATAAAATTACCAAAAATATTGAAAAAGCGATTATTTCCAAAACTAACTTGGATTTCTTTCTATTTACTCAAAAAACTATTTACTCAAAAAAAAACTCAAAAAATTATTTCCAAAACAAAAGATTATTTCCAAAACTAACTTGAATTTCTTTCTATTTACTCAAAAAACTATTTACTCAAAAAAAAACTCAAAAAAAAAAAAAAAAAAAATTATTGTTGTTTTGTTGATTCATTTTAAAAAATTTTGCTCAACCTATATTTTTGTCATTTTCAACATAATACCCATTACATAGAATTTTCCATAAAAAATGTAAATTAGTAGTTTGAATCTCAATATTTTATATATCGAAGCAAATTGATTGATCATTTTTAGTTACTATTACATGCTAATGTCAGTAATTTTATTGAATTTTCAACAGTGTGATCCAACTTAAGCAGGGGTGTGCAACAGGCGGCCCGCGGGCCACAAGCCGGCCTTTCAAGCCATTTAGTGTGGCCCTTGTAAGCACTCAAATTCCCCCATCAAATATTAATAATACTCAGACAGTTTATGTTCGAGAGAGAGTTCCCACGAGTAAAAAAATTACATAATGTTTTATTGTTCATGTCGCTGCGTTAAATCTTTCGCCGTTTCGCCCGGTGCATTTATTACTGTCATTTTAACTTCTTCATCCGTTTTATCGTTTAATTCGTTACGAAATTTTCAATTCGTTGTGTATATGGTCAAACTAATTTTGTGTGGCCCAGCTAGATGTCTGAAGGTTGCTATATGACCCACCAACAAAAAACGTTGCACACCCCTGGACTGAAGCGTGATGTTTTATTTATATCTATCGATTCACAACTTTCTTATGCAAATATCTGTAACGAATAAATTATAATCAAGTATGGCATTATATAATATACAGGGATTAGCTGTACTAAGTGAACAGTGAACTCACTGACACATATCGCCTATGGATACGCGTTATCTATAGCACAACCCCGTTTAGTATGAGTTCCCGGATATAAAATGGCGTTAGTTGTCTTTTGAATCATCGTGTAAGGCAGAACGGTTTGAAGTCAACAATATTGCTTCGTAGACGCATAAGCGCATCAATAAAATGTTTGATACCTATAGCACGCGGTCACCAAGGAATAATTGGCTTTGAGGTTGGATGGGCTTAAAACAAAATGGCGTGGATTGACTTGCCGCTGGTAATGAAGGCTGTAGGTAAAAAAAATAAGATCAAAAACGCACCTAGACTGAACAAAACTTGTCAAACAACGCTATGTCGCTATGGATTTTAACGCACCAGATATATTAAAATTGACAAACGTCGGTGAATTGTAGTTTGGTCATTGATATATGTTACCGTTTTCATACTTAGCTCATGCTATGGAGTCGTGATGAGCACTGGGTTTATCATGATAGCATAGTAAACTGGGCAGACCAGAAGATTGAAACCACAACGACTTGGGATCATCCAAGAAATATCTGTATCACACATCAGAGATCCATTCATGGGTTGTGATTTCGAAGGCAATTATTTTTTGCTCTATGACGCCACCTCCCGGAACACTGACATGAAATATTTCAAACCCATTTTAAAATACTAGTTTGGTTTTGTATATGGGGTATATTGTATCTGTAATGCCCGATATTGTACCGGTATCCTATGTATAAGGGGTGCTACACTGTTGCATACAGGGTAATATCCTCCACGTCTATTCGCGCGGAATTATATTTTAAGAAAGTCTTTCTTTCCGCGTAAGACCCCGATGCGCATCTGAAACAAAATGGCGTCGTTTGTGATCAGCATCTTACCAAACAAAACAAGAGAGCGATGCTTAAATATATCGACAAGGCGTAACATAGTTACGCAATCTGTTTCAGCATCGCACCGGTACCGCAGCGTTCAATCCTTCGCTGGACCACAAGATCGCTAACGCGAGGGCCGAACCGCCTGAATCCCCGAAAATTTTTGAAAAAAATTTAAAATAGCCTTCGAATAATGAGTACAAAGTTTAACCACGGAAAATCTCTAAGCAATTGGTTCAGTAGTCAAAGAGAAAGGCGATTATTACATACGATAGCAACAAGAAGAGAAATACTAATAACACAATAATAACAAAACGTCCACTCCGTGTTCAATATCCAATGTTCACGGCACAGAAAAAACCCATTGTGAGCTATGAATAACGTTTTACATTGCCGATGTGGTTAACCACCATGCCTATACTAAAACAGACAAGTTTCTAAACTGCTGAAAATTATGGTTTCCATCCTATTACTGCCTAACCACTAATTTACTGATAAGTTAGAATGGGTCTTACATAAGAGTTTAGGTTAGCGGGCTAGGATGCAGTTTCAGGGTTGCCAGTTATCCACCGTTGTGTCCCGTAACATAGTAAGGCCAACAAAAAAACAGTAGCAAAGAAGTGACTGGAAGCATATGGCGCCCATCAACAGCTTAACCCTCCCCATTTTTTTTCCTGTCTACGCTTATTGTCACTCATATGCGGGGACAAGATAAACAAAAACCAAATTGAGTGCTGAATATGCAGATAATTGAACACAGGAATACAAAAAAATCCACCGCTTCCAACGAGCTCGGCTCTGTGGACGCATTTTTAATGAAATCGCAGCAAAAACTTGTATTTTCATGTTACATTTAATTTGTAAATTTTCTTTATGTAATTGTACCTGGAGTACATTATTCAAATAAAGAATTCTACACTAACCAGGCTCAGTAAACTCACATTCAATCGTTTGCGTTCAGATTTATATGATGTTGGCTGTTCTTTTTATTGAGAAGTATCAACTCTGAATTATTCAGAATATGGAGTGATTAAAACTTGGTCAAATTTTATAACTTTTCGTCACCTTACCTTCTGTTTGTATAAGCTATTTATAGCATTAACGTAGCTTATATAAGTGCTTGTTTATTGATATTTCGAAGTTTTTAGATTAACAACAGAACAGTCTCATACATTGCAACTTTTGCAACATCTTAACAGTAGTATAATATATGGGCACGACTAAGAAAAGGTTCACAATTTGTCAAACTATATGTAACGCCCGGAATTGGAGACTCAAACTGCGCTACGTTTATACCCAACCACTGTCAAGTACCACGTCCCGGTTCTCCTACAATTTGCAATGCAAACTCGTAACATTAAGTCCCCACTCACAGTCTTGAACTTTTGAACCCAACACCTCAGAAGATCACACGAATTGAAAGAACTTTGTTGTAATATTCCGCTTGAAATCACGACAGAATACGGCAATAACATTCACAATGCACATAGAGTTTGTGGCTCAACTAAAGTTTGAATTTCAATAATACACGCACAGAGTTTGTATGAGTTTGTGATTAACACACTGAGCACTGGGTTTGTGTCAGAGTCTGAGTTTGATTTCAAATATTGATAGATTCCGGGATTAAATAACTAAATAAAATACAGAATAATTAGTAAACATTAATACACAATAAATCCCTGACTATCCTATATCCTAACATAATGATTCCCTAGCTACATTATAAACATAGCAAAATCTACTAACTACAAAACACACTCAACTAAATCCTAAAACACCGGCAAAGCATATGACTGCAGATTGCACCATCACAGCTCGTCTCCACTCACGCAGAACCGAGAGCAATACAAGAAAACTAACTATAGAACAAGAGTCGTCGTCGGTCGATTGCCTCAGCCAATAGCGTGCAAGACAAACATATTGCGACATAGCTACTATTCCCACTCTCTCGAATACGATAAAGAAATAAACAAGAACTACCAAAATGCGACCTGCGTCCATTACACCGGCCCCTAAGAACCGTCTACATCCCACGGTTATTACCGACCACCAAAGGACGCATGTCTCATTTTCACGAAATGAAAACATGAAAAACAATATATACAAAAATTACACAACTCCCTCTAACAAACACAATTTACGAATGTCTCGCATGTAACAAGAATCCGCAGTCCTCACACGTACACTGCGGACATGCCCATCTGAATCAGGAAATACTTCCTCGATTAACCCTTTCGGCCAGAATCCTCTCTTAGTCTTTTCATCCACAATGAGAACAATATCTCCAATGGCAAAGTTTCTCACAGGCTTGTGCCACTTTTGCCTCAACTGCAATGTTGGCAAATATTCTTTCAACCACCTCTTCCAGAAAACAATCTGTCATTAATTGTACCTGGCGCCACGACTTCTTATATCCATCTGCTTTCATGAATTGATCAGGAGGTAGATTCGGATTAGGCCCTACCAAGTAACAACATATTAGGACTCAAAGTTGCGAGATCATCCGGGCTATCTCCAATCGGACAAATTGGTCTCCCATTTAAAATGCTTTCACACTGTGTTGTAAATGTATGCAGAGCATCATCATCTAATAATCTCTCCCCAGCAATTGCTCTCATCAATTTTCGAAAAGATCTTATCATTCTTTCCCATGCTCCATTTGTATGTGAAGCCAAAGGTACAGAAAAACACCATTCAATGTTTTGCTGTTGCATAACTTTAGAAATTTGATTTTGATTCCAATTTTGAATCCCTTCACGAAGTTCTCTCTCAGCACCAATGAAGTTTGTTCCATTATCACTGTACATTTTCCTTGGTCGTCCACGTCTGTTTATAAATCTCTGAAACACATTTATGAACGATGAAGTATCCAGTGACTTAGCAATCTCGATATGAAACCGCTCGTGTGGCCATACAACTGAACATACATCCATATCTTTTCTCCTCACTCCTGCCTCTCTTCACTAATATTGCGTCCAAAATAATCAACAGGCAGTTTCCATAAAAGCATGATCACTAGGTGTCACTCGAACCTTTGTAACGGTGCATCACTTGCTCCCCCACCTTTAGAGTTCCATCGACAGCAAGTAAAAACATTTGCTCAATCTTCGACGCACAGTTGCATGTCCCTTAATAATCCAAAATTTCTCACGAATTGCATAAACATGCAAAGTACCACTGTGAACCTTTCTCTTTCATGATACATGTCCAATCCACCAAATTAGTAACATAACTACACTCCGGCAAAATTCTAGATATCTACTTTCCAATGGCAAATCGTGAACGATCAAGACGACCACCAAACTCTCAACGATCCCCATCCACAACAATAGGATTCAGTTTCTGTATTGATCTCATCTGCTCATTTCTTGATAATGACTTCTTTGGCGTCCTGACAATCTTTTCTTCCAAAGATGAATGATTATGCAAAGCATCGATTTGTTTTCCAAACTGCTCTCTTTGCACAAATCTTACTATGCAATCAATTGCACAGTGTAATTCACAAATCTCAAAATGTCCTGTTTTCAGCTGACCGACATCTCCATCACCTCGAGATTTAGCCACCTTCCATCTGAGATAAGATCGATATCTCAAAAGCCAAGCTGTCGATCTCTGAAGTTTCTCCAAAGTAGAGTATCTCGAAAGCAAATGCTTGATTGGATTTTCCTTCAAGTTATCTTTGACACAATACACAGATAAATCTTGCTTCAATTCAGGGTCATTATTTAATATGCCACGAATAGGTTTTGATTTTGGCCATAGGCTTTCTTCTCTCATCAAAAAAACAGGTCCCTCAAACCAAATCTTTGCCTTGTCCAACTGATACGGTTTCAAACCTCGAGATGCAATATCAGCCGGGTTACATTTCGTGTCAATATGTCTCCACTGCGAAGGCTCTGATCCCTCATGAATAACAGCAAGACGATTCGCCACAAAAGTATGAAAGCGTCTTGTCGTATTAGTGATATACTGCAACACTGACATTGAGTCGGTCCAATAAATTACTCTATCAATTTTGTACTCCAGCTGAGTCTTCACAAACTGACCCAACTTCACTGCTACCACTGCCGCAGTCAACTCTAGCCTTGGTATAGTCACTGGTTTTGAAGGTGTCACTCTTGACTTTCCCATAACAAAACTGCAATGCACGGTTCCATCAGACTTGTTCAACATTCGCATATAGCATGCACATCCATATCCGGTTTCACTTGCATCACAAAAAATATGCATTTGAATTTCACTAGGGTCATTCATATCTGATGATTTCAAACAACGAGGAATAGAAACACTTTCCAGATGCGGTAAATCTTGCAACCAGTTCATCCAGCAAGCCTTTTCACCATCAGGAATTTCATCGTCCCACCCCAAATCTTGTTTACATAATTTCTGCAGAATTTTCTTCATAGGCAAAATAAATGGCTGCAGAAATCCAATCGGATCAAATATCTGGCTCATGGTAGAAAGCATACCCCGTCTTGTAGTTGGTTTGTCTTTCACATTCACCTTGGTCACGAATTTATCCAAATCAGTATCCCAATATAACCCCAGGGCTCGTTCCACCGGTAGATTATCAAGATCCAAATTCACCAAAGTCTTTGCTCGCTCACTTTCTGGAATTTGCTCAAGCACCTCTCGACAATTGCTGATAAATTTCGTCAGATGGAATCCACCACTTTCCAGTAGAACAGACAATTGCTTAACCAAGTTTATAGCGTCACCACTCTTTGCTAAGGATTTCAACAAATCGTCAACATAAAAATTCTTCAGCACAGTATCAACTACCGATTGTTCAACACCCGGCTCATTATCTGAAGCACATTTCCTCAAGGCGAAACCTGCAACTGATGGACTTGAACGGCTTCCAAATATGTGTACCAACATGGAATAGTCACTTGCTTGAGATGACAAATCATCATTCGGCCACCACAAAAACCGAAGCGAGTCACAATCTTCTGGCCTCACTCTCACCTGATGGAACATAGCCTTGATATCTGCCATCACACCAATTCTTTCTTGTCGAAATCTCAAGAGAACTCCAGCCAAATTATTCGCATAATCTGGTCCTTGTAATAAATTATCGTTTAAGGAAACCCCACGAAAAGTTCCGGCCCCATTGAAAACTACACGGAATTTTGATTGTTTCGTACTATGATGCCCCAAATAAAAAGTTTTGTCACTAGTCACCAATTCATCATTAGGTATTTTTCTCGCATACCCATTGTCCAAGTAATCATTTATCACGCTCTTATAACACTCAAACAATTCTGGGTCTCGAATAAATTTTCTCTTTTGGTACATTAATTGTTTCTCAACCATGGTACGATTATTAGGAAGTTTTACCTCTTTATTCTTCCATGGGAGTCCCACTTCATAATGTCCATTAACTTTACAAACAGTTTTTTCCATGATAGACAATGCCCGCTTGTCTTCAACAGACAGTGAGGATGCAGATTCACATGCATTATCATTAAAATCATGCTCATAAATTTGACACAATTGGCGATGTAAAATATTATCATCACAATGAATAAAATTCACAAAATTATTATCACAATTAGAAACACTCTCTGGGCCAAACAGTGTCCACCCCAACAAGGTTTTCACCGCTCTGGGCTGTCCCCTTTTCCCGCGTTTAACCTCTAACACATCATGGGCATCTGGGACATTTGAGCCTATAAGAAGCTTGACCTCCCTATCCGTATTATCAGAAATATCAACATGGGAAAAATGTGAATACAATTCAGTATCACGCACACTGGGAATACTCGATTTTAAGTTTGGCAAACGCTCAACAGTTAGAACTCTATCCAGCACTAGGGAGTTGCCTGCACCCGTTGCAGTCAACGCTACCTCAAACCCCTCTTGGATTTTATGACCAGTCACAGTCTGCACAGAAAAATTGGTTTTAACCCCACTTATACCTAGCTCCCTCATGAGCCCACTAGTACAAAGGGACACCGTAGATCCCGGGTCTAACAGGGCATAGGTTGATATCTCCCTACCTCCTATGGCCTTACCCCTGACCGTGACTGGCAACACTTTGAGTCTAACATTCCCAACCCCTCCCGTAGCCTCCACGCTACAGGAAGTTGCTCCACATGTAGCTTTCTCACCGGCCCCACTGACCGGAGCACTCGTCTCTTTTCCTGAACAAGAACTTACAGGATTAGTAGAACCACCCGGCTTTTGCCGAGGTGGGAAATGCAGCAGCACATTGTGCTTTTTGCCACATCCATCAACATTGCATAACACATTGCGGGTACACTCATTTGCTTTGTGACCACTCAAAAGGCAATTATAACACAATTCATTTCTGCCCACCCACAATGATCTTTCTTTAGGAGTCATTTTCTTAAACTTCAGGCATTTCCATAATGGATGTTGATTACCTGACCCACAAAAAGGACAATCAAACTTTGCAATGGCCCCCCTACTAGGTATAGCATTGGAATCGGTCACAAAGGAGGACACCCTATCCCTAGTCTTGGGAACAGTCCCTCGTTTAGGACTTCTCGACTTTTTCTGTTCCCTATTCGAACAGACAATCTCCCCATACATGGTAGAAGCACCACGAGCAATTTGCATAACATAATCCTTTAAATCGGAAAACATTGGTTCCCTCCCCACCTCATAAATGCCGCTTGCAATCTTAGCATAGCCAGACTGCAAATCTTCAGGCAACCTGGAAAAAATCTTTTTCAAATTAACACTATTATTAAGATTATCCATACAATCCCATTGGTCAAAAACAATCTCACAATTATCCATTAATGTTACTAACTTATGCAAGTCAGCAGAGTTATTATCACGAAGAGGTTTTCCTTCAATCAATTCTTTCATAAAGGAATCTATAATCATATGTTTTTTGCCAAACCTCTCATTGAGAATGTCTAGGGCCCGCTTGTAACCCCTTTCCCATGGTTTAGTAATTACACATGACCGAATTGCCTCTCTGGCAATGCCCTTCGTACATTTTAAAAGAATAATAAGCTTACGATTTGCTGGAATATTTTCCACATCCACTGCTGCTGTAAATTCACTCAGAAACTCTGGATACCTCAGTGGATCACCATCGAACTCAGGTAGATCAACTTTCAGATGTTCACCCATTGATGCTGGACATGTAGGAACCACCGGATACACAGGAATTGGCAGGAGAGGCTCAAAAGATGTCACTGCTACACTCGAACCGTATACATTCTGGACAGGCACACTGCTCACACGATGATTATTCACCGCATTCCAGCACGCCACTCGTGGACTGGGAATTGGCTAGCCACCGACACACCACCTGTGGGCCGGGGCATAACTCGAACACCGGCATGCCACTCCAATTACCCGGATTGTAAACAACAATGTCCAGATTGTACAAACGATTGTGACAGGAACCTTCGGGACGATCTCTGCAGTCCAGGATTAGACAATGTTTATAGCATTAGTCAACTGTTTGACGTCCATCAAATGGCACACAGAACATCAGAAAGTTTGTCTTTACAGGGGAAACCACAGCAGGACTTGATATAGGAATGTTCTCTATTTTTCTTTCAGGAATCGGCTGCAACTCAAATGATGAGGGTTCAGTCTTTACAAAAGGCACATTAGATTTAGGATCATAAATGTTCACAAATTTAAGGTTTGTCCAATGGCTCTATCCCACTGACCAAGTTTTCAGAGGCACAACTTGTATACTCCATTGATTGCTATCCAAATTAGAACTCATGATAGATCCTTCAGTTTCTTCGAAACTCTCAGCTATCAATTTCGCTTCATCTGCAAGATATTCCGCATCCAAAGCTCTTTTTTCAATGTTCAATTTCTCCTTTTCCAAAGTAGCTTGTTCACGTTCACGTTTAGCTTGAAGATCAGCTAGCTTGGCATCCAAACGAGCTCTGGCAGCTACTGATGATCTCACAGATGATTTATTTGAAGATTTACTTCTATGAGAAGCAACACTTGTTTTTCTTGATTTACTAGACACAGAGTTATTTTTGCTGGCGGCAGCATTGTATCGCTGCAAATATTCACCATATAATTTATCACATACCGCTTTCTTTCTGAAAATTTCATCACACTTTACAGTCGCTTCTTCAAACTCAAGCTTGTCCATCTCCAGACCGGTATTGACAGAATTTCGAAAGTCTTCAACAAGCATTAATACAGTTCTCAAATGCAGCATCCACAGCTTCTTTTGCACCACAACCTCTTTGTATTTCTGTGGGTCCAGCATTAGATCCTCAATGGTTTTCAGAAGCTTTGTAAAGTGGCTTTCATATCCCGCACGAGATCTTTTCTTTTTCATTCGCAGTTCAGAAACAATACCATCTTCATCAGACATCTCGCAATATGAATAGCTTTATTCCGTTATGAAATTGTCCACGATAGAATGCAATTATTCTTCGAAATTGTAGAATAACTATGTATTTGAAATTCTCTACGTAAAACGTAGGAGACGAATCTTTATTTGAAATTCTCTACGTAAAACGTAGGAGACGAATCTTTATTTGAAATTGTGTAACGCCCGGAATTGGAGACTCAAACTGCGCTACGTTTATACCCAACCACTGTCAAGTACCACGTCCCGGTTCTCCTACAATTTGCAATGCAAACTCGTAACATTAAGTCCCCACTCACAGTCTTGAACTTTTGAACCCAACACCTCAGAAGATCACACGAATTGAAAGAACTTTGTTGTAATATTCCGCTTGAAATCACGACAGAATACGGCAATAACATTCACAATGCACATAGAGTTTGTGGCTCAACTAAAGTTTGAATTTCAATAATACACGCACAGAGTTTGTATGAGTTTGTGATTAACACACTGAGCACTGGGTTTTGTGTCAGAGTCTGAGTTTGGATTTCAAATATTGATAGATTCCGGGATTAAATAACTAAATAAAATACAGAATAATTAGTAAACATTAATACACAATAAATCCCTGACTATCCTATATCCTAACATAATGATTCCCTAGCTACATTATAAACATAGCAAAATCTACTAACTACAAAACACACTCAACTAAATCCTAAAACAACCGGCAAAGCATATGACTGCAGATTGCACCATCACAGCTCGTCTCCGCTCACGCAGAACCGAGAGCAATACAAGAAACTAACTATAGAACAAGAGTCGTCGTCGGTCGATTGCCTCAG